AGGAAATGTGGTCAGCTGCAAGAATGATGTAACGGAGAGTGACGGATGACAACTGCACACTTAAAAAGAAATGATGCAGATATGGGAGGAAACGATCAACTTATGTTTGCAACAGGAGCAGGAAACCTGATTTTAAGAATTTGTATTAAATTAAAGTAATTTGGTTGGATTTGAAATAATTTGGAAAATAAAAAGTACAACGTGAGAACACAAAATACATAATCCTGTTCCTCAAACTTTAGCAGACAAGATGCAGAATTAGCAAGATGGAGAAGGAACACTCCGACCTTCCACCTCCACTGCCTTGTGTGAGGATCCTTCCTTCATTGACACCTTATGACTAAACTCATTTGTAAAAAAGATTTTGGCAGTAAACCCCAAGGTTTACTGCCAATATACATATACCTCAATTGCCTCAAATCTTCTGGGACTGCCATGGAAACAATTAGATTTTTCCTTTGCCCTGAGATGTCCCGATTTAAGCTGCTCTTAAAGGGGCAATGGGCTTGCAGCTATCTTTCACTTTGTAGCGTAGCTGCAATTTAGCCCATGTCCACTTTAAGAGTCACTTGGCTCCTCATTTCCATGGGCGCCGACCGGGTGATGTCACAACACACACACACACACACACACACACACGTTGGTAGGAGTGAGGGGTTGTGAATAAACTGTGTCTACAAGAGCACCAGCCAGATGCAGTGCAAGGTCTATGACTCCCTGCTGGACCTTCCTGAGGACCTCCAGGTGGCCCACACCCTGGTGGTGGTCTCTATCACTGTTCTGTTCTGGGCCTCCTTGCTGCCATCTCCGGAGCTGGGTGTTCCAACTGCATGGAGGACCCAGAGACCAAAGGGAAAGTCTCGGGACTTGGCAGTGGCTTGTTCTGCCTGTCCCCATCTCCTGGTCTGCCAGTGCCATCGTCTGCAAAAATGTTAATCAGGCAATGGCTTTTTCCACCTGCTTTGCTCCACAAGCAACAGTTCCCAGAATTCCTTCAAGGGAGGGGGCAGCTATGACTGTTAAAGTAGTATAAAAATGTTTTAAATAAATGACATGGCTGGTTAAAACTAGTCCAGCAGAAGATGGAAGAGGAGGAAGCTGACCAGCAGGGCCACACTCTGCACCTGTAAGGAAGAAGTCAAGGAAGTGGTAGCTGGTTGGGTTTGGATTTGGTTTAACTTTACACCAGCTTAATTTACTGGGCTTTAGTTATGCCAGCTTTTTGTGCCTAGGGTTGAATGCATTATTATTGCATCAACATTTTCAAAGCGCCGGGTGTGGTTTGCAAAGTCTCACAGAATTCTCCATTAGGCAAGATGTCTGGTGAAATGCAGAATATTAGTGCTACTATGCCATGTAATGCTTTGCCATTAATTAATACTGATGACTAACAGATTTATACTGTGAGATTGGAAGTACAAACACCTACCATCTATTGCCCAGTGGTCCTTCCTGCATTTGGAACATTTCATGTATAATCCTCATTTAAAGACTATGGACAGCTACAATGGTCAATTATATCATTAAAAATGCATTATAAAATGTGACACCAGAGGATGCTGCAAAGCAGTGATCCATCATCAGTGGTAAATTACATTGACAGCTATATTTTTATAGTGTTTTAAATAGCGTTTTTCATATCAGTGTAGATCCAGCTTGGATCTACAGGCTGCTGAGAGGGCAGTTCAGTCGACATATGTGTACCGCTCCTCAGGCCAGTGAAGGAGGAGGGAGGCAGAATCTTAGCACTGACATTTTTTAAAAAAGTATGGCTATCAGGTATCTGTGAAAGAAGTTTGAAAGCAAAATGTGGAAGCTACTTCCTAGGGCTTTAAAGGCAGCATAACAAGACTTGAAAATGGAAACACTGTTGCCAAGCCATGAAATGAAGGAATACTGAGCACATTCCCTTGAGAAAGGGGAACTCCGAATACAACAGGAAATGAAAGAAAAGCAGGTTGTTGTTGCTGCTATCCTGACTCTGGACAAAGGAAAGTCATGTCCATGTCCTGGGCATCTTTCCTTACGGCAGCCTTGTTTAGGGAAGCTTTTAATGTTTGATGTATTACAGTATTTTAATATTTTTTTTGAAGCCACCCAGAGTGGCTGGGGAAGCCCAGCCAGATGGGCGGGCTGTAAATATATTATTATTATTATTATTATTATTATTATTATTATTATTATTATTATTATTATTATTATTTTCCTGCATGTCCAAGGCGTGGTTTCGGTAGGCATTATCCAAAAGTACCTGCCTTGTAATAAAGGGGGCTTCATTCATATGAAGAAAAAATTGTGAGATTGCAATGTTCCCCTGCCCTGCTTTCCATGTCCCCAACATGTCGTCACTGAGGCAGAACGGAAGACCACTTCTGTGTAGATTCTGCAGCCAGCTGGTAGCCCCTCCCTCCGCCTGCTTCCGCTACAGCCAGCAAGATCCTCCATTTCACTGGCATTTCCCTCCTGCTGAAAAAATTGCAGAAATCTAATCTTCCCATCTTCGCACCCACAAATATGGCAGAATTGTGTTCTGGCTCAAATCAAAAAAATGAAACTAATTGGAAACCTGTAAAATACATGGGTATGGCCCTATGTGGGGTATCATAATAGCACCTGCAAGGCACAAGATCATGAATGAGAAGGAGATATACGACGATAGGAGCCAACTCCAGGGGGCTGTGGGTGCTTGGGCAAGCTCAGCCCTCCAGCTGTTTTGGGACTACAGTTTCCATCATCCCTGATCACTGGTCCTGTTAGCTAGGGATGATGGGAGTTGTACAGTGGTACCTCGGGTTACATATGCTTCAGGTTACATACGCTTCAGGTTACAGACTCCGCTAACCCAGAAATAGTGCTTCAGGTTAAGAACTTTGCTTCAGGATGAGAACAGAAATCGTGCTCCAGCAGCGCGGCAGCAGCAGCAGGAGGCCCCATTAGCTAAAGTGGTGCTTCAGGTTAAGAACAGTTTCAGGTTAAGTACAGACCTCCGGAATGAATTAAGTACTTAACCCGAGGTACCACTGTAGTCCCAAAACATCTGGAGGGCCGAGTATATGAAGTAATGTGAAAACTGGGAATTACAGAGATAGACAGATTATATATAGATATATAAAGATATATAGAGGTGTATTTTTATGTTCCCTTAGATGCAATATTGTTGTGCACTGCCTCTGACTCTTACCCTGAAACTATGACAGTTGAGTGGCTGGCGGATGGCCAATCAGGTGTTGAATCAGCCCATTCAATGAGCTGGAAAAACCGGATTGGGGTTACGAAGAGTGACTTATGGGAACCCCTTCATTTAAAACAGATCCCTGCAGCCACATGTGGTGCTTCCCAGAGTCTCTGCAGGGCATGGTGCTCTAATGAGAATGTGAAAAGGAAGGAAATGTTCCAATCAGAAATTCAATCAAAGTAAAGAACAAAGTGGATGAAATAGCAATGACAAATAACATATTGTTTTGTAAGCAGGTTTGAGACTGTGAAATGGCCGTGTCTCCCAAGCCACGGAAACTTGGAAATGGAGGCAGAAATGATGGTTCAGATGCCTAACTGCCCGGCTTCAGCTTGTGAGGCCTGCAGTTGGGGGTCTCCTGCGAGATGACCAAGTCTGCAGATGACACTAAATTGTTCAAGGTCAGTTAAACTAAAAGCGATCACAAACAGTTCCAAAAGGACCTTTGCAAAGTGAGTGAACGAGCAGTATTACAGGCAAAAACGCGGCAGGAGAGCGGCCCATCTAGTGCATTCCAAAAAACCCGTTGCATAGTCTTCAATGACAACAGAAGAAAAGGATATTCTGCATAATATTACATGCACACACATTCCACTGAGTTCTAAATTCACCTCTCCAAAGTGAGCGAATGAGCAGTAAAATGGTAAATGCAATTCTGTGTAAACAAGAGTAACAAGAGGCATGACTAAGCAAGAAAGCTTAATTTCACATAGACACTTGTAAGGTATGAACTGGTGGTGACTGATGTTGAATGAGACCCTGAAGTTGTGGTAGATATCTCAGTTAAGATGTCAACCTAGTCTGTGGCAGCTGTAAAAAAGGGTCTGTGTCCCTTTGGAGAATAGAAAACACAGTGGAGACTGTTGTAGCTTTAAGAAATATGCTTTATTCACCTATTTACACCTTCAGTCTGCATAGTGGGAGTCCAGATCTTACGGCATGGTCATTTCACAAGGCAGCAGCGCAGGCATCCTTTAGCCTGCCTGCCCAAGATGGAGCTCAGCTCCTCTCCTGCTGCTTCTTCCAAGGAAACCTTGCTCAAAAACTGCCTTTTCCTGTCCCCTCAAACAACTCTCATCACCTGAAACTGGTCTCTGTTCACGCCTCAGGGCAAGGGGAAGGAGTCTTCTTGCATTGTTAATGGCCCTCCATTGTTCTTTTGATAGCCATAGCTCAGACAGGTTGGTTTGCATAAGCCAGCCCAGGAATTTGCTGTCTGGCACAGCTCTGCATCTTGTACTTTATTTATTTATTTTTTTAAAAAAAATATTAATTTCCCAGAAAATTTGTTAAACAAACAAACAAACATAAATCTCAACCATATTTAAACCAAACTTAGTAACATTGTTAAGTGACTTCCTCATATCCCCCTGGTTGAATTTCAGTGTATATCATTTTAACTGTTTTCCAAAACCTAAAGTCTTAGAAAATTAACTTAATCACTTAACATCTTTCTTACTTTCCAATTCAGCATTAAACATATTAATTACATATTTAAATCCTAAGCCTATCTGGTATTTGCAAGCTGTTCCAGTTAAATTAGCTTAACTAAATAGCCTTTAAATTTCATCCATTCTTCCTGGTAATCCTCCTCCTTCTGGTCACGGACTCTTCCAGTCAGGTCGCCTAGCTCCGAAAAGTCCATCATCTTCATCTGCCAATCTTCCACTGTTGGTACTTCTTGTGTTTTCCAATTCTTAGCTAGTAGAATTCGAGCAGCGGTTGTGGCATACAAAAATAATTTAACATCTTTCTTGGGCAATTCTAAACCTATTATTCCAATAAGAAAGGCCTCTGCTTTCTTAATAAATGTATATTTCAACATTTTTTTCAATTCATTATAAATCTTTTCCCAGAAGTCCTTCACCTTGGGGCAGGTCCACCACATATGATAGAAAGTACCCTCCTTCTCTTTACATTTCCAACATAGATTATCACTGTATATATGCATGCCACCTCCGTCTTGTACTTTAATTCATATCCCAATTAATCAAAACCCTAGCATTTATTCATTCCTTGGATTTAGTGGGTTCCATTATTGTTCAGAGTGTCAGTTAAGAGGGACCAACTGCCTCTTCTTGTTTTCTTGCCTCAGACATGCCTCATGTTGTTGTATCTAGTTTCTCTCATTATGACAGTTTTCTTTATCATTAAAGCTTAGTTACATTCATGTGAGCCACTTATTTTTTTCTCATAGCAAAGGAAACTCTGCTGAGGAAAAGTGTTGAATGTCCTAAACTGCGTGAGTGAGGGGATATTCCCAGTTTGCCAGGAGGATTCATTTTGTAAAACATCCCCCACCTCCAAAACAATTGGGTTATGAGCCCAGTCTGACATAGAGAGAGAAAAAATTATGGCCACGTATATAAAAGCTGTGAAAGCCCTTGAGCCTGCTGTCCCTGTTCTCACTGTTGCGCAGCGGTACATTAATCAAGCAGAGTCTTCTTCATAAGCAGAATAAAACTTTACTGAAGAAAATAAACTTGCTCATAAACAGCATAGTCAAAAAGCATACACAGAGTGCTCATAATAGCTAGCTTAGTCTTCAAAGAGGCACAGATCTTGATTACTAATTAACTGTAGTCCTGGAGCCACTCTGTCTGCAACAACACAACATACTGCCTGAGACACACACACACTACCCTGCGGCCCACAGAGATGGCTGGTTACATTTATAGGGGAAATGAGTCATGAGTCACAGCGACACAGCATTTTACTGCTAACAGTTAGGCTTGAAAGATTTGTGTAGGCCTCGTAGGCCGCACTGCCTAGGCCTTGCCTGCTTCTGCTCTCAGGAACCTTTGTCTCATGACACTCACTTCAAGCAACTATCCTTTATGGAGATTTCGATGAAGAATGAGCTGGTGAAAAAGGATTTGTAAGCAACAATTGAAAAATCTGCACCAGCAGAAGAGGCAGAAAAAGCAAAGTCGGAAATGCAGGACAGAAAGGCGAGGGCAGAAGTTTCAACTTATGTGAGTGACGGTGACTTGCACCACATAAGAGATTTTAAGACTGCCAAAGAGTTGTGGCAAGGTCCAAAAGAGTTGTATGAGAGAAACACTCTGAATAAGAGACAGTATCTATCAAGACAGCTTTTTAATATAAAATTTAAAGAAAATGGAGATTTAGAAAAACATCCAAGTCAGGTGACAGAGTTGAGGGATCATTTAAATACTATAGGCAAGAAATTTGAAGAAGAGGACAAAGCGGTTCTAATTCTGTCAAGATTGCCTGAAAGTTACAGTTCTTTGATACATGCACTAGAGACTAAATATAAACTTGATATGAAAAATGTTTTATCAAGACTTAAGGAGGAGGCTGCTAGGAGAGCTGAAAAGACAAAAGAATGGGAAGCGCAATATTTGATGTACAAAAGACTCATAAGTATAATTTTAAAAATAAAACTGCTTTACAAAGTGTAGATAAAAGAGACAAAACTAGATGCTTCCCCTGTCGGAAAATAAGACATTCTTCAAGGAATTGTACAAAACAGAGTGGCATGATTAAAGAAAAGTTCCAGGGTGGCAACAGAAAACAAACTAAAAATGCTTTTGCAGTTCATCAAAACTATCTAGCAGGAAAACTGGTGCTATTCACAGCAATTCTACTAGTTGGTTAATTGATTCTGCAGCTTCAATGCACATGTCGTGTGATGCTGGGGTTTTTTCAGAGAGTTAAATGAAAATTCATCAGAGACAGCTACAGCTGTAAATGGCCACAAAGTTTCTGTGTAAAGGAAAAGGAGCAGGTTTGCTCAAGTGTGTTGCAGGCAGGAAAATGGTTTGTAATGAAGTGAGAAATGTAGTTTACTTGCCAGAATTAACAGATGGTTTTCTGAGTGTGTCAACTCAGACCAAGCCTGGTTTTAATGTAAATTTTAATAGCAACAGATGCACGATTACCAAAGATGGAGTTTTGTGTGCATAAGCTTTTGGAAATAATGGAGTATTTGTGCTAGATACAGGTCAATAAATACGGTTAAGAAGAATTCAAGTGCAGCCTGTGTTCAACTGTGGCACAAAAGGCTTGGGCATAGAGATTTCAGGATAATAGCAGACCTGCCACAGAAAGGTTTGGTGAGAGGAATGGAAATTAAACCTCGCAAAGTTGACCTGAAAAGTGAAATATGTGAATATTGTTTGTTGGGGAAGGGAAGAAGACATTCTGTCCCCAAGCAAAGCCATAGAAGTTCAACAGAGCCTTTGCAATTTATTCATACTGATATATGTGGTCTAATTCAAACAATGTCTCATGGGAAATGTAAGTATGTATTGTTTATTGACAATAATTCCAGATACTGCACAACTTATATTTAACACACAAAAACAGAAACTGCAGAGAAATTGGAGATGCAAGTGTTGAAGATCAATTTGGGAGATAGCCACAAGCAATGCTTTCAGAGAATGGTGGTGAGTACATGTCACATCACATCAAATCTTATCTAGATGAAAATGGTATTAAACATTTGCACCCTACCCCATTTACTCCAGACCAAAATGCAATAGCGAAGAGAAAAAATCGCTCTCTGATAGAGATGGTCGGGTATGTTGACAGAGTCTAATTTATCATTTGAATATTGGGGTGAGGGACTGATGACAGCAATATATTGGCAGAGCAGACTGCCAACAAAAGCTACAAATAAAACAGCATTTGAACTTTGGTTTAGAAGAGTACTGAACATCTGTGACATTAGAGTCTTTGGTTCAAAGGTTTTTGCATATGTGTCAGCATAGATGTACCAAATTTAGCACCAGGACTGAGTTAGGAATATTTGTCAGCTTTGAGAAGGGTTGCAAAGGTTGCAGAATTCTTAATACATAGACAAGAGAAGTAAAAGTCAGAAGCCTAGTATATTTTAGAGAAGGAGAGAAATCCTTTGCATGTGTTCCTAATAAGAACAAAGAGGAACAGACTGATGCTGATTCAGTAACTGAAGAGGTTCCAGTAAAACTGATCTCAGTAGTTGAAAGAACAGAGAAAACTAGTCCAAGTACTGAGAATTTGCCAGCAGAAGGGGGAACAGAGTCAGGACAAGGAACTGTGTGTGATGAAATGGAAGAACAATCAGAACCTTTAATTAGATGCTCATCACGAATTAACAAAGGTGTGTCAGCAGAGCGGCTATCATACACCACAAGAGCAGTAGCTAATTGTGAACCTGACACATGGAAAGACATTGAGAAACTTCCTGCAGAAGAAGCTGCCAAGTGGATAGAAGCAGCCAAGAAAGAAATTGAAGCATTGAATGAAAACAACACTTGGACACTTACTTAATTGCCAAAGGGCTATAGGGTGCAAATGGGTGTTTGAGAAAAAGTTAGATGAGGATGAAACATATAAAGGTATAAAGCAAGGTAGATGATATAATTTTGTATACTGAGAACAAACAAGATTGTACAGAAATTGATAAATGTTTAAATAAGAAAGTTTTGCCATTTTACATGCTAAATTAAAATTGATTAATTCAAATTAGACACAGTGAGAAGGGGATTGTAAGAAAAGCTACTATTTGAATAGCAGAGTGCTTGGTATCCAGTGGGCGGGACTTGTGTGTTTTGCTCCAGAATCAGCCCCTCCCTTCAGTGGGTTCCATTATTGTTCAGTTAAGAGGGACCAACTGCCTCTTCTTGTTTTCTTGCCTCAGACTTGCCTCATGTTGTTCTATTTAGTTTCATTTATGACAGTTTTCTTTATTATTAAAGCTTTGTTTAGATGGTCAGATCACTTCCTGGGGGGGGATGAGTGTTCAGTCTCCTGGGCTCTCACTTGTGGGGTGCCTCAGGTTCTGTCCTCTCCCCCATACTTTTCAACGTCTACATGCAGCCACTGGGAGAGATCATCAGGGGTTGGGTGTTCATCAATATGCGGATGATACCCAGCTCTACCTCTCTTTCAAATCAGAACCAGTGAAGGTCCTGTGTGAGTGCCTGGAGGCGGTTGGAGGATAGATGACGGCTAACAGATTGAGGTTGGATCCTGACAAGGCAGAAGTACTATTTTGGGGGGACAGGAGGCGGGCGGGTGTGGGGGACTCCCTGGTCCTGACTGTGCCCCCTGAAGGACCAGGTGCGCAGCCTGGGAGTCATTCTGGACTCACAGCTGTCCATGGAGGGGCAGGTCATTTCTGTGTCCAGGGCAGCTGTTTACCAGCTCCATCTGGTATGCAGGTGAGACTCTACCTGCCTGCAGACTGTCTCACCAGAGTGCTACATGCTCTAGTTATCTCTCGCTTGGACTACTGCAATGCGCTCTATGTTGGGCTACCTTTGAAGGTGACCTGGAAACTACAACTAATCCAGAATGCGGCAGCTAGATGGGTGAATGGGAGCAGCCGCTGAGACCACATAACACCGGTCTTGAAAGACCTACACTGGCTCCCAGTACATTTCCGAGCGCAATTCAAAGTGTTGGTGCTGACCTTTAAAGCCCTAAACAGCCTCGGTCCAGTATACCTGAAGGAGCGTTTCCACCCCCATCGTTCTGCCCGGACACTGAGGTCCAGCGCCGAGGGCCTTCTGGCGGTTCCCTCGCTGCGAGAAGCCAAGTTACAGGGAACAAGGCAGAGGACCTTCTCGGTAGTGGCACCCGCCCTGTGGAATGCCCTCCCACCAGATGTCAAAGAGAACAACAACTACCAGACTTTTAGAAGACATCTGAAGGCAGCCCTGTTTGGGGAAGCTTTTAATGTTTAATAAACTATTGTATTTTAATATTCTGTTGGAAGCCGCCCAGAGTGGCTGGGGAAGCCCAGCCAGATGGGGGGGTATAAATAATATGTTGTTGTTGTTAAGTTGTTGTTGTTTACGTGAGCCACTTATTTTTTTCTCATTGAAAAAGAAACTCTGCTGAGCAAAGGCATGGAATGTCCTAAACTGCATCCATGAGGGGATATTCCCAGTTTGCCAGGAGGTACAAAAATGCAGTATGGGGAGGAATTTGGAGAGGCAATATGAAGGGAAGGGCAGAGAGCCACACCACTTCCAGCCTCACAGCAGGGTAGATTCATATTTTGAAAGTGCTCTCTCCCCTCTCCTGTCCTGCCAGGTTCTGCAGCCTCGGAAAACACTCCTGGTCTTCACCTCTGCCATGGGTGACAACTCCAAGAGGCTGAGGAAAATCTAACTACCAGCCAGTTGCTAATCTCCCTTTCCTGAGCAACGTTGTGGAGCAGGTGGTCGCAGACCTGATCCAGGCACTCTTGGAGGAAACTGTTTTTCTAGATCCATTTCAGTCAGGGTTTAAGTCCGATTTTGGCACAGAAACTGCTTTGGTTGCCCTGTACGATGACCTCTGTCAGGAGAGATAGGGGAAATGTGTGTCTGTTACTCAGGTGGCCTCAGTGGCGCAAAGTGCCTTCCATCAAGCTTCGGCTGATGTACCAGCTACATGCTTAGCGGGACAGGGATAGCCTAACTACTGTTGCCTATGCTCTGGTAACTTCAAGGTTAGATTACTGCAATACATTACATGTAGGGTTGCCTCTGAAGATGGTTCAGAAACTAAAGCTAGAGCAGAATTCAGAGGCCTGGTTGCTCACCAGGGCAAGACAATTTGAGCATATTACACCGAACCTGGTTTGACGGCACTGGCTACCAATTAGTTTCTGGGCCCAATTCAAACTGTTGGTTTTGACCTATAAAGCCTCAAATTGCTCAGGACCAGGATCTCAAGCACCACCTCTTTTCATATGAAACTACATGGACCCTGAAATCATCTTTTGAGGCACTTCTTTGTGGCAACATCAGAACGGGCCTTTTCTGCAGCAGCTTCCTGTTTGAGGGATGCTCTCCCCAGAGAGGTTCACCTGGCGCCATCATAATACACATTTATGCGCCTGGCAAAAATGTTCCTCTTTAACCAGACATTTGGTTGATTGCAATCCAATGCCCTTCTAAAATGTGTTGGGTGTGGGCAGTTATTAGGTTGTTTTTGGTTTTTTTCATGTATTTTATGAGATGGCCACAAGGAGGTCCAGGGCAGAATAGTGATAGAGACCACCACCAGGGTGTGGGCCACCTGCAGGTCCACAGGAAGGTCCAGCAGGGAGTCATAGATCTCGCACTGCATCTGGCAGGTGCTCTTGTAGACGCAGTTCATTCACAGCCTACCAACTCGTGTGCATTGTGACGTCAAGACCATCTCGCTCTCTTTTTAAAATAATTTTTATTAATTTTCCTAATTATTACAAATCCTACCAAATTACTTTAATTTAATACAATTTCTTAAAATCAGGTTTCCTGCTCCTGTTGCGAACATATGTCAATCGTTTCCTCCCATATGTGCATCATTTCCTCCTTACAAACAGCGTCTCTGTTGCATTTCACGTGTGTAACCTTTAAAGTACCTTGTTGTTTCAGACCTGGTGTGCTAGGAGAGTTAATAACTATCTTCCATTGTTCAGTTCTTTGCAGTGTTTATCTGGATGGTACAAGGTCACATTCCATTCCTTCCACTAGCGTACAAACTGCGACCATAAGTAACTCACAGAGTACATGTCCAGTCTCCGCCATTAAAATTCCGCTCTGGAGTTCTTCCTCGGCACACAAAATCTTTTCTCAAATTCAGCTTCTTGCCAGATCTATTCGGCAGCCGTTCATTCTTCTTGCTCTGTATTGCTCCATCACACTCCTTGTCTGGTCCAAAAATAATTTGAAATAAAGTCCATTCAACCTTGGCTGTCTCCTATCAGAGGAGGGAGGGTCAGAATTCACGGAAACCTGACACAGATTGAGGAACCCAGCACAAATCATGCCAGAGACTGAGACACTTCCATGCCAGGGACACACTCCCAGGACGCACCCGTTCTGCCCTTCAAGATAGCAGACATAGACTTGAGTGGCGCAGCGGGATGCAGTGAACTCCACAGACCCTAATGGGGAACATTCCCAGAATCTTTGCCTCATAAATCCTGGTTTTTCCCTGCCTGAACCTCCTCGCTCCCTGTTGAGGGTAGCAAGGGGTGACCACAATTGACTCGTGATGCAAGCCGGACCCCCTCCCCGCCCCCATCTCAATGACTGGTTGGTGCATATGGAAGATGTGGAGCCAAGTGACTTTTACAAGGGACATGGGCAAAATTGCTGCTATGCTAAAAGTGAGAGGTAGCTGCAAGCCAATTGACCCTTTAACATCAGCTTAAATCTGGAAATTTCCAGACATATGAAGAATCTGTGGTGGGTTAATGGCTTCCCTGGCAGTCCCAGAAAATTAAAGGCAATTGAGGTGTATGTTACTCCTTGAGGTTTACCATGAAAACCCCTCTCACTAATGAGAATACCCACAAGGCAGCAGAGAATTAAGGTCACAGTGTTCCATTTTGCTAATTCTGCATCTTGTCCTCTAAAGAAGATAAAGGAAGATGATTATATATATTGTGTTCTCATGTTGTACTTTTATGTTCTGAACTGCCTGTGATCTACTGATGAAGGGTGGTATACAAATAATAATAACAATAACAATTAACAAATAATAACAAAAGGAGAACTTCCCCATAGCTATTAGGATTTCCCACAAATCCCAATTACACTCAAGTTTCTGGAAGGACTTTCTGGGAACCTAACAGAAAGCCTCTTCTTGGAATGTCTGGGTGGAGCTACTGATGGGAAACAAAGTCTCCCAGGATGCTATATAAGCAGGCCTGGTGGCCCACATGCCATTCACACTGAATCCTAAAATGTGGGCCAAGATCTTCTTACCATTTGTGGGACTCCTTTGCGGGGCCAGCCTGCCACTGACTTCTTCCCAGGCTGATACAGGTGAGTTTGCTTCTCTTTCCTTCCTCTTTGCAGCCTTCTCAGGCATGTACCTGAAATCTGGGTATCTGGAATCACCCTTAGAAACAGAGCAATAACAACCCTTGGATTCTCTTCCTCCAACTTTTCTGCTTATTTGCCAGCAGTAAACGGGATAGTCATTCCAAAGGGACAGATCCCATGGTTCCAAAACAAATACCCTTTTATTAAGATTTGTAAGTGCCTGTTAGAGGAGACTCTTGAGAGTCCCTTGGACTGCAAGAAGATCAAACCTATCCATTCTTAAGGAAATCAGCCCTGAGTGCTCACTGGAAGGACAGATCGTCAAGCTGAGGCTCCAATACTTTGGCCACCTCATGAGAAGAGAAGACTCCCTGGAAAAGACACTGGTGTTGGGAAAGATGGAGGGCACAAGGAAAAGGGGACGACAGAAGACGAGATGGTTGGACAGTGTTCTCAAAGCTACCAGCATGAATTTGACCAAACTGCGGGAGGCAGTGGAAGATAGGAGTGCCTGGCATGCTCTGGTTCATGGGGTCACGAAGAGTCGGACACGACCAAACGACTAAACAACAAACGTGCCTGTTTCTGTGTGCTGAGGTCTCTGAGGACATTCTGTGTGCTGAGGACATTCTTCTGATGGGGCAAAAGAGGCAGGGCTCTCACAAACTATGTAGCTGAAATTATTTAGCTGAGATTCCTGCATTACAGGGGGAGGTTCTATCAGGGAAGTTCTATCTATACAGGGAGTGCAGCTATCATCAAGCCTTGATTGAAGAACGATAGATACAGTCCTATCTGGGATGGTCTTCCTCTTCCACTGAACATGCAGCTTAGGGAGGGACACACATGAAACAGGGGGACACCTGCCTAGCCAGCCAGGTCAGTCAGATCAGCCCTGGCGATCAATGGGGTGACAGATGTCTCAGTCAGATCACCCTCACATCCGTCTTGAGACGTCTCCTGGGGCTCCCAAGTTCAATCATGTATGAGACAATGTGTGCAGAACTAGGTATACACACGATGGAATATTGGGTGTGGGCTAGCACTATAAAATACGGGTTGCATTTCCATTTTGTTGCCAACCTTACATAGGAACTCTTACATAGGAAAATCAGATCTATTGGTATTCAAATCAGATCTTCAAACCCTTGTATAATTTGAGTGAGCAATATATTTATTGCAATAATCAAAACAGATTAAGGTACATTGGGGGGGGGACATCAAGTCAGGTGTAAATAAAATTTGCTCCCCCGAGATAACAGGGTCACATATCTCAAAATTAATTTCTGTACAACTCAGGACCTTTATCGTAGCCCGACTGAATGTTTTTCCTTCAGCTTTTGTCAAGGGCAGATTTTTAAATATCCCCAGAAATGATAGACATTGTGGATGTTCTTTGAATGTGCCAGACACTGAAGAACATATCCTTTTCTACTGTCCATTTTACAACCTGCTACACAAACGCATGCTACCCCCTCCCCCTTTTTGGGTAGTCTAACATCACGGCACAATGAAAATTTCCGATTAACCCGGAATTAACTGCAAGGGGGGCTGAGGTTTTGTTAATAGTATCTCTTGGAGTGCTAAATGGCACTATTTAGCGGGAAGAAATCCCAATGAAGTTCCTCATCATTATATATTTTACATGGCTGTTTATTTGTATATATTTTAAATGTTTTAGGATGCCCTATATTTGTAATGCCTAGAAAAGTTTTGATGACGTAAGTAGGTAAGCATTACATGGGGTTGGACTAGATGAGCATTGGGGTCCCTTCCAATTCTAGAATTCTATGAGTCCACGAAAGAGAATATGCATGGGAAAGAGAGTCAGAGAAAAGAAAAATCACAGGGGTGTAGAGAAGAACAAATGGCAGACAAAAGCAAGACTGGAAGGACTGAGATGAAAAGTAGTGGTTTTAACCTATGGCATTTATTCATTTGCTGATTTTTAAATCATTTCTAAGCTGCTTAAATCTTAAACAGTGCACTAAGCAACATAAAAACTGTAAAGCAATACCATAAAAACCATAAAAACGGTAATATAAAGTCATTAAAAAAACAGGAATTTCATCTGTCTGTCTGTCTGTCTGTCTGCCTATTTTGTTCCCTTAGGTGAAATATTGGTGTGCACTCTCTCTGGCTCTGTCCCCGAAGGCATGATGATTATGTGGCAGGCAGATGGCCAATCAGGTAACACCTCCGGCATCATAAGTGCAAGCATTGGTAGCACAGCATACTTCAGCGCTGAAGTACTACCCGTTTCGCAGGTGAACACAGGAACTTTCGCAGATGAATTTCAGCTGAAGTTCGTCTGTCGAGCATCCCTACCTGGGTCCCAAACAAATGTCAATGAACCTGAAGGTAAAAACTCTCAACACAGTTGGGACATAGTTTTCCTTTGAAAAGCATGGTTTGGGAGAGGGATGATTGTTTCCAGATTGCTTAAAATCGTCTCAGGGACTGACCATTTCAAGACTGCTTCCTCCTTAATTCAGAAATTTATTTCAACAACAACAATCTTTATTACGGTCCAGAGACCCAACAAAACATTACAAATCAATACACAGTTCATACAGCCTACCTCCAGGTTAATCAAGCATTTTGTTTAGAATATAGGGCTCATTTGTTCTTGCAACCACCGATAAAAACTTTGCCACTGCCAATGTTCTAGCTTTTGTCCGGTCTTCCAGTAGGAACCTGACATAGTGAGCCTCTTATTTTCCCGGGAAAGGCACCAGCAAGGGTAGTATCAGTTCAGCCCTGGCCTGCTCATACTTAGCACAATGCAACAAAATATGAATTATGCAATCGATGTCTTGAGCACACGAGCAAAGTCTGTCCTGGTAGGGAACTCCTCTCAACCTACCATCCAGCACTGCAGAAAGGAAGACATTTAGTCTGGCTTTGGTTGAAAAGCCTTCGATAGTTAGGTACTGTCAGGTTTTTGATGTAAGATGTTAACTCAAAGACATACCCATATTGAACTCCTGCTGCCAGCGGACTACAGACTGCGTGTGATCGAGATCGCAAGTCACTGTGTGCATTGTCCTATAATCTTTGCTTTAAAACCTTTTGGGCGCCTTCATAACCCAGGTAATACAGTTGGGGGGAGACAGACCAATAGAGGTGGCTTTTTTAGCCATGGTTTTCTGCCATTTGCTGACAGATTCCTCATTGGTCAAATGTTGGTACAGACCCTTCCCTAGATTAAACACTGAAATCCTGAGCCAATGTTTTAGGGCAGCCCACCACGCTGTAGCTGAAATTGGGCATTCACCAGCTTCCAACAGAAGTACGGAGTTGGGACGCAGTTAGGTACCTGCAGCAGAGATTGTATAAATTTTGCCTGAAAGCCATCTAGCTTTGGCAGGTCCCCATTATGCCAGACATTTGCTGCATACAGGAGTTGGGAAACAGGCTTTGCATTGAAAACCCTTAAGGCTGCTAGAACATATTTGACGCCCTTTGTGAAGAAGAATCTATGTATGGCTAGCTTTGTAATCTCCACCTTTTGAAGGGAGGTTTGCCAATGGTGCTTCCAAAATCCTGTATGATGGAATGTGAGCCCTAGGTAACTGAAGTATTTTACCTGTTCAAGGTTATGGCCATCCAGCACCCATTTAGACTGGGAGAATCTTCTTTCGAAGACTAAAATTTTAGATTTTTCATAATTAATGGATAAACCATTTCCAGAACAGTAATCAGAAAATTTCCTCAACAGATAATTCAAACCCGGCCTGGAATGCGAGATGATGGCCAGCATACAACAACAAAGGGGTCCTTCTCATTCCTATTTTTGGAATGTGTCCATCTGGGTCCATTAAGTTCTCTTCTAGGGAAATTTATTTCTGCTTTCCATTATGGCCTGTTGAGATAAGACTTTCCCCACCAGTTGCCATGATATCAGTGCTAGTATTGACTAAAGGCACAACTTGAAACTGCAATCAGTCCGGTGGAGGTCTGAACAGTAATTCTCCTCTTATCTCTGCAGAAAGCTTTTCACCGTTCTTGAACAATACTAAATGCATCTTTTTATCAGAAAGTAACAATGGGAGAAGGAAAGGAAAGAATGTGTACCCTGCAAGGGCCAAGGTGTCTCCAACAATAATTTCCACCCTCATTAAAAACCATTCCCACCTCCAGACAAGGATCCTTCCAACCTTCATCTGCCTGTTAATGTTTACCCAGCATAGGGTGACCTGGATGAACAGATGGTGCCCTTCTGTTGGAGGCAGATCCCACCCATCAGGCTGGGCTTCTTCAGCCATTCTGGGCAGCTCCCAACAGAATTAAAAGTACAACAAAACATCAAACATTAAAAATCTCCTTAAAAAAGGGATGCCTTCAAATGTCTTCTAAAAGTCAGATAGTTGCTTATTTCCTTGACATCTGATGGGAGGGCGTTCCACAGGGCGGGCGCCACTACTGAGAAGCCCCTCTGTCTAGTTCCCTCATTGAGGGTCAGCATGTGAACACTCAAGTATTGAAGGACAGCAGCCAGGTGATAGTTTCCTACTCTGACTGAATCAATGACACCATGAAGCTCACCCAGAGGCCTGAGGAGAAAATCCAGGGAGAAAAATGATGCACACCCCTTCCTCAACATCGCAAGCTCTCCAGCCTAAACTACATCTTTCTCTTCAGCCTATCCCAGATTCAATGATTTCCATGCTTCATCTACAGATAAATAAAATCTCAATACATTACAGGGGTTCTGTAATGATAATATAGAGAGGCGTAGTAGTGTGTATGCTAACTTCAGCTCTTTGGAGAAACGGTGGGATACAAATCAACACTAGATGAAGCATATCCTACTGTATCTATCCCATCTGGGGACAAATTTCTGGTGAACGGAGCATGGGCCACCTGTCACTTTTTAGATTAGCAAATGGAATGTCCTGTATTCTTCTGATTCTGCCATAGTATGATAGAAAGCTTAGACCATTCACATATAATATTAAAAGGGTAGTTGCAAAATGCCCCCATTGAACATGTTGATTTCTGTTCCTTCCTGGAGTGCAGTTCCTATGGGGATCTCTTAGCCACCTGCTACTTATTATTATAATGCTGCAAGGAACAGTGGAGAGTCATTATCAAATCTCAAAAAAGGAAATAACAGATTTGCTTTTGGGGGTGGGGTTGAGGAACAGCACTCAAATGGTAAAGGGCTAATCACTGGCCTCCTAGGATCATGGAAGCCCCTATAATTTGTTGCAACTGCACAAAGCTCCAAAGACTTGCCAGAGGATACTAGAAAATGATCAACCAGTAAACCTGAAAATTGATATAAATACCCCCCCCCCAGCAATGTACACCCGAGAGTAGGTGAAAAGGTGGGCAGGGCTCCGTCACTTTCCTTTCATACGTTTCCCCATTTATTCCACCTTACATCAGCTAACCTTGCTAGCACTTAAGGCATGCATTGGTGTCTCAGTCAAAGACATAGCTGCTGAATTTCTCTTAAGAGATGGGTTAGCAGAATTAGCCACCAACCTATGTAGACTGTTAAGTCTGGTACTTTCTGTTCTGTACAGAGGAGATTCTCAATATAGAGGATGCTTTGCTGATTAGATGTTGTGGCTTCTGATAGCTCTACTTTGTTGCTTCCTATGGGGTACAAAGTAGATACTCTGGAGTATCCCAGAAACGATCCCCACCCTGTTCCACATGAGTGGTTCCAGCCAGGAGCTCTCTTCATTGGTGGAATTGCTTCTCAGTTAGTTTACCATTCTCATGAAGTTTCATTCAGTGAACATCCTTCTCAGAACCAGCTTGATGTTCCAGAGTAAGAAATTGCTTCGTTTGCTCTGCATCTTTTGTAGCTGCTCAGATCACAGATATATTTTTAATGTAAATGACAGAATGTTAAGTGTGTGTGTGTGTGTGTGTGTCCGTCCATATGTGAGTATAGGTTTGACCTATCCCCCCCCATAGAATATATTAGAAATTACCAATAATGTGATATGATAGCAGGAAACATACTCGTTATACAAAGGGATGAACAAATTCTACCTCTATATGCAGAATGGTGACAAAATTCTACCAGCACATCCTTGCTTTGGCATTTGCTGTGAACAAAATCAATGAGAATCCGAAGTTCCTACCCAATGTCACACTTGGATTCCATATCTGTGATAGCTACTACGATGCAAGGATGACTTATTGTACCACTTTGGATGTACTCTTCAAAAAAAAAGATAAATTTGTTCCCAACTACCAGTGTGACAGACACAAAAAGCTCATGGCTACATTGGCGGACTTGGCTCTGATACCTCTAATCAGATTTTCCTACTCAGGGCCACACGCACAATGACTTCAGCTGAAGGCACTTTAACTCCTTAAAGTTACTGAGTATTTAACACCCCACCCGCGGTCTTCTGTAGAGATTTGAAATGTCAGAGAATCTAAGAGATAATAATCAGCACTCCTACCAAACTGCAAGCCTCCATGATTCTCTGGGGAGAAACTGTTATGTACTGAAGTTCTCACCCTGGGCCAGCAGGGGGATACTGTAGATAGTTATGCAAATGAAGGATCGAAAAGTGACATTTAGTGATTGGATAGTTTTGTATGCAAATGAAGGATCGAAAAGTGACGTTCAGTGATTGGATAGTTTTAGAACGTTGCAACAGTTACAATTGTTCTGTAGCTCTATATAAGCAGGCTGACTGAGCTCCTCGGTTTAGTTCTGTTCCAGCTTACAAAATGAAGAGCTGCTTTGGGGGAAATCGCTATGTCGTCTGCTATGTCAACCCACAACTTAACAGAAACCATGACATTTAAACCATTGCAGGGATTGTAACCTGGATATAAAAGAGTGAGGAGTTAGAGTTATTGAGGAGGCTTACAGATGCATTTTTAAAGCAGTTTTTATACCACTACTGATGAATGTGAATGTTACAAGACAGGGGCTCCTCTACTCCTTGGGGAACATGTGTCATTGAGAGGAGCAATATTTCCTGACCAGAAAGCAGAATGCAGGTAGATTCTGGGAAAGCCTCATGTAGTTTCAGATAATATGATCAACGAGTTGGGATAAAGTTTGGGGACGTCTTGCTGCTGTGAAGCTGGTGTGAAAAATAAAGAAAGGAGGCACGTCCTTCGGAATAACCCTGCCATGCTGAATACATCAGTTGCTGAAAGCATGGTGCTGATATGGCCCAGGTGGAGTTCCCGCCAGCTCCTGCACTTTGAATTGGCCAATGAGAGGCCTGCTCAGGTGAGAGGGGATGCGTCGCTGCTGAAAGGCCATTGGCTGCCCACCTGTCAGGGCAGAACAGAGCCTGTTGAGTCTTCTGCTGCACTGGTTTTAAGTACTGTATTTTTCGCTCCATAGGGCGCACCGGACCATAGGGCGCACCTAGTTTTTAGGGGGGGAACTTAAGAAAAAAATTCTTATTTCCCCCCAGCCCCAAAGAGGAGTGTACAGGCTACGCGCAACCTCTCCCTGCCGGAGAGGTTGCGTGCGGTATGTCACAACCCAAGGCAGCCAGCAGGATGGATCCCGCTGGCTGTTTTGGCTTCCGCTTTAGCCCCACGCAACCTCTCCATGCCGGGAGAGGCTGTGCGGGGCTAAAGAAGCCATAGCCCCGTGCAGGCAGAGGTGCTGCGCACGGCTATCCCTGAAGCCTGGAGAGCGAGAGGGGTCGGTGCGCACCGACGCCTCTCGCTATCCAGGCTTCAGCGAAAGCAACTCAAAGCCTTTGGAGCACGGACGGAGTGCTCCCTCTGCACTTCGGAGGCTTAGCGTTGCTATCGCTGAAGCCAAGGAGCCTGCATTCGCTCCATAGGATGCACACACATTTCCCCTCAATTTTTGGAGGGTAAAAAGTGCGTCCTATAGAGCGAAAAATACGGTAAGAAGACAGGCCCAAAAAAACAGTCTCCTTTCAAAATCCTTGAACGTTAAACAAGAAAGTGGTGGTGCCGGCTGCAGAGAGAGAACCAATTCCTTGCAAGTGCAGAACATACCTTACATAGCACTGGTAAAAGTGCCAGTTCCACATACTGTGTAGGGATGTTGTACATGAATAAGGGGCTCAGACAAACATTAGCCAATCCGTGCTCCCTCATCACAAGGCAGCAGAGAATTAAGGTCACAATGTTCCTTCTCCATTTTGCGAATTCTGCATCTTGTCCTCTAAAGAAGATAAGGGAAGAAGAATATATATTTTGCGTTCTCATGTTGTACTTTTATGTTCTGAACTGCCTGTGATCTGCTAATAAAGGGTGGTATACAAATTAAATAATAGCAATAGGCGAACTTCCCCACAGCTATTAGGATTTCCCACAAATCCCAATTACACTCAAGTTTCTGGAAGGACTTTCTGAGAACCTCACAGAATAGCCTCTTCTTGGATTGTCTGGGTGGAGCTACTGATGGGAAACATATCTCACCAAAGTAGAATCATACCGCCCAATCTCATTAATAAACCAAGACTACAAGATATTCACATCAATCTTGGCCAACCGCCTAAAAATCTTCCTACACAAGTTAATAGCCCCAGACCAGACTGGCTTTGTCCCTGGCCACAATATAACAGACCCTATCTGGAAACTACTGAACCTGATTGAACACAGCAAGGCAACTAAACTCCCATTGACAATTATGTCGCTAGACATCCACAAAGCCTTTGAGTGCTTAGAGTGGAAATACATATTAGCAGTACTAACTAACGTGAAATTTGGCCCCAACTTCCTACAAATCCTCAAACAAATATACTCCCAAACCTCAGCAAAATGCAGAACTAACAATATGGATTCTAATACTATAGCTATCCAAAGAGGCATGAAACAAGGATGCCCACTGTCTCCCTTCTTATTTATCCTGCCTCTGGAACCCTTAGCAATTCGAATCCGAGCAGCCACAAACATCAAGGGAGTGGAAATAAAAGGCAGAACCTATAAATTAGGGCTCTTTGCAGACGACCTAATGGTCACAAACACCAGACCCCTTAAGCACAGCAAACCTCCCTAATCAGAGAACTCAACACATTTGCAGTGGTGTCGGGCCTACAGGTAAATTTTACAGAAGCTATGTGGTAAAGTCAGGTAAAAGTCAGAAGCTATGTGCCTTCAACACCCCTCCTCACACTCAAAAAGAACTCACGAAGGTCACCAAAATAAAACTTTGCCACACCAAGTTCGGGTACCTAGGGGTACAAATAACAAGAAACCTCAATAAATTGTACCTCCACAACTACAAGCCCCTGTGGCAACAAATTAACAAAGACCTAAAGAAGATGGAACAACATGAATTTCACTCTCTCAGAAAAATAGCCATGATCAAAATGATCACCCTCCAAAACTACTAACCTATTCCA